TTACGTCAATGTTTACGTCCCTAATATTGGTCATATGAAAACAAGAACAAAGACTGACTCAACAAACGATCACAGCAAACTTTGCGTAGGCGGATACAATTAGCAGATAAAGGATCCGACCTTCAAGAAACAGCCACGAAGAGATGAAGGATTAACTTTCAGTGAGAAACAACCATTCAGAAAACTGTTTTGTCTGCTAACAATAATCTATAATTATCTACATGAAAATCTATAAATATCTGTTGATTTCCTCAATAAACGATCTGTTGCCTGACTTTTGCCTTCTGTCGTTACAACTGCATCTTTTTCTGAACCACTGGCTACAGAAGCAACTCAGGTTTTGCCAAATCTGCCTGGATATCTCATGAAACCCGACTTTTTGACCAATAAAATTCATTACTTTAAATTTCCGAGTGTACAGAAGTTATTTTTGTCTCGCTGGCTTAGACTAGACTCATCTTCTGATTTTTTTCCTGTACGCTTAAAGAGCAGAAACTATGTGATCTTCAGTCGAGTTAGCTACTGCATTTTGTGCAGAACCCAAATCACACCGCTATTATTATTACTGTCTAGCTTAATAACGAACCTATGCAATATACAGAACAATTCAAAACCAGAAAGGAGTACTGGAAAACTCTTTCATTCTAGCTTGGGATTCTCCAGAAGCACGCACCCATCACCCCACCACAAGCGATCGAACTCAACATCTACAGATTATTGGGAGAGCGAATTGACAATTAAGCCACCCGATGAACAGAATCCAATGGCCCATCAGTTCTTACTTCTTCTAGCCCGTGGTATATAAATATATATATATGGCTAGGCTAAAATAAAACGATCCATGGAATGATAAAGTATGCGTGCCTTGAGTTAACCAATCAGAAAATACGGGCGTTGATAAGGCATATCCCCTGTTTGAAGTGGCGCCTCCAGCTTTACCTTGAGGACATTTGCGCGGTCTAGTTGATTTCAGTTTGGCTGGTTTGTTTCGTTTGATCTAGGTAGCTGCATTTGACGTGATTCTGGTTTCTGTTTGGCTTGAACTGTATTGATTTTGTTAAGAATAGTCGTGAAAAGCTGCCTCTAGGCCTGAAGGCAGTTATGGTGCAGGAGGATGCTTGAGAATGTGTTTCATGGTAAAATTATAGGATGCACCTAAAATCCTCCTGTTTGTGGCGTCTCAGTGATTTCTGTAGAGCTTCGTTTCATCACTTGTGTCCATATTTGTCGTTCACGAGTGTTTCAGCAAATGTTTATGGCTATAATCAAAAACTTTCCAAAACGGTAACTGTGGTAAGGAATTTATATTTTTTTCCGCTATAGTTTCCAAGTCATTGTCTCTTTTAAGTTGCTTACTGTACTCTGTTGGCTATTCATGAATTTTTTATTGAAAAGCTTCTGTTTTCATTTACAGTGGTACCGAATGGACGCATTGGCACTTGGAGACAATGGCGACCAACCTGCTCTTCCTATATCAGCGGATATCAAAAAACTTTTTGACGGAATTATGTTTAGTCACCGGTATACCAGTTGGGTTCAAGTAGAAGATGCTCTAAGTCAGCTGGAATCAGTAATATATGTATATATGTATGACAGAGTATTCCCAGGCAACTCATACACATTATGTAATCAAAAAGTGCATACGGGACCATGAATCTCAGGATTTGAAGTAAGATTTACTAAACTAAAAGCACTTTCGGTTTACATAGGAGATCTCCATGCCGAATTTATTCCTCCGAGGGCCTACACAGATTACAACTTCAATTAAATAACATTGACGTTGAAGAAATTCCATTCTTCATTACTAAACTTAGTGATAATAATAATGTTTTTATTCTAGAAACAGGAGCATTCGTAATGTTCCACTTTATGTAAATGCAGTTACATACAGTTGTACTAAGAACTCAATGCAACTCGGTGCACAATAGTATATACGCAAATAAACTGAAAAATAACGTCCTCCTTACCTTCTGAACAACTTTTCTTTCACGTATGAGCCTGAGTTATGTCTATGAAATCACAATATTATATCAGTTAAATCTCGCCCCGAAACCAAGGCCACTTGAAACCAATAGCAACATAGAGACAAACGTCATTGAGGGGATATGCAATAAAGTCGCTCTATTCACTGAGGTGACTGAAGATGAGTTCTTACACAAACTGAGCCCTGGGCTATTAACTGGCTACACTCTTACTTCTCTAATAGGATGCAGTACACGGTATATAATGGTGTATCTTCCTCTCCATTGCTTACAGAAGCTGGAGTTCCTCAGGGTGCTGTCCTTTCTCCGTTTCTCTTTTCCTTCTTCTTACATGATTTACCTCTCTCAGATGAAATCGACTTCGTCAAATATGCAGATGACCTGTCTGTATCGTTTCCCATTAAGTCTCAGTCAGACTGTTTCAAATTAAATAGCTTCCTGTCGGACATCAGTGAGTGGTCCAAACTAAATGGTCTCATGCTGAATCCCTCCAAATGCCAGACTATTGACTTTTCCCTTAGGCATAAACGAGATCTACAAACACTAGTAAGTTCTTATGAAGCCTGTTGCATTGAGGGGATTAAAATTGAAACTAAGTCTAATGCAAAATACCTCGGTCTAGTTCTATCTTCCGACCTTACTTGGACATCTCATATCCTAACAATTTCTAAGAAAGTGTTCTGCCTAACCTACTACATTAAGAAACTCGGACAATCTGGAATCACTCAACCTCTACTTTCACAATTTGTCAACTCTTGTATCTTACCTATTCTACTTTACTGCTCCCCGTTAGTCTTTCCTGGGTTGCTGAAAAAGGACTATACCATCCTGAGAAGGATGTTGAAGGTAGTTAGTAGGACCAGTGGTGTAAAAATCAGCCAGCTCGTCACTACTTTAGTTGATAGACATCTGAATACATGCGAAAAATGGTCAAAAACCATACTCTCAGACCCCCAACACCCCCTCTATTCCCAACTCTCGCCTTATATCTCATTAAGTACAACCAGAAATCAGTATAAAATAATCTATGCTCGTACAACCAAGTACAGGAACTCAACGATACCATACCTGGCCCGTGTTCTAAGCGACAGAGAAAATGTTAAGTGTGAAACCTATGACTTGCTTTGTTATTAACAACATAATTTTAGGCTCTCTTGTTTCTCTCTTATTTTGTATTCTATAGTGAACTCCTTCTCAAACATACTTAGCTACTTAAATTATTAACATTGGCTTCCTTTTTTGTACTTTACTATATTCCTTCTATTGTGTATCCACTGGTTCTGACTATATTAGCACTATAAGTATTACAAAATTTCCCTGTCATTAACCATCATGTAATTATTAGTTTTTGTGGTTGTTTTTTCTTATTTTTTTTCGGCAATATTAACTGACAATCATTGGTTGTGAACGCCATAGTCACCATCTTAAAATTTTGTATTATTCAGGATTACTCACACTACCACTACAAACACTGCATTGCTGTTGGTGTCTTTAGATTTTTTTTGTTTGTTTAATACTCCTTTTAAATGTTTGTAAAATTAGATGCAAATATTGTAGATATGTGCTGAAAATTCCACACTGTACCACTAGTACTGTTTCTGGAATAAAGCAAATTATTATTATTCTTTTTGTGACTATTTATCGCTGTTATCCTGTTTTACAGTCTTCCCCAAAAGCCCCCCAACCCTAATACTTACCTTAACCTTAACAAGCTATTAACACATTGTCCAAACAGTACTTAAAAACGTGATCTAGGTGAAATTTACTCTTTAATTCGTGAATAGTGTTCATATTGGCGCTGTAATAATAATGATAAGTCCCGATATCCAACGGCTTCTTTATATTCTCTCCCGTCTTACTCTCCTGACAACTCTAACTACACTAATGATATATATATATATATATATCAACCTCAAATTTAATCAGCTGTCTGTTTTACGTTTTCTTTATTTCTTTTTCTGTCTGTTAGTTTGAATGACTTCACTAGTTATATTTATTATTATTATTATCTCTTTTGTTTTGACGACGATACCGGAGGACTAAGTGGTGAAAGGATCAACTCCATACACAGCACTACTCCTTTTGGAGTCAACCAAAGCTACGACAATCGAATGGCGGAACGAGCTACGTAGAAGTTTACCGAAGATCAGGAACCTATACCCCACAATCAAGAGGCGAGCACAAAAAATCCAATTAGTTTATACTAGCTCGTAAAAACGATATTGGATATTGGACTAGTATGTGTTCAACTCATTGCAGCGTCCCCACTCTTGCGCCGTGATACTTCAACACGATCATATATACATACATAATACCACTGTCAGTAAATATCACCGGTGAGTATCTGTCCTCACACCCAACTTGCTGGACCCCACAGGTCACGCATGACTTCCTACTGGAAATTCAGACAACTCAATCTTGTAGCCAGCCACCTAGTGAACATCAGATGACCTTTCCAAGTGTTGCTTTATTCAGGTACTCAACTGATTTGAGGCTTGAGGCGCGAACGAACTTGCATCAAATCCCTTCGAATAAACACTATCATTGTAAATATAAGCCATAAATAGTAAGTACCAACATGTATTTATGCATATACATATATACACAAATATATCTACATACATTACACAAAAATATGTTAGAAAAAAGAAGGCATGTTAATCATCTCTTCATTGACTATACAGAAAACAAGAAAAAACCATAAAAAAATTTATATATAAATGTAGACATCTCAAAATACTTTTTTCTCTCATCAATTCAAACATTATACCACCACTAATAAATAAATCATTTGAAAATTCCGCGTTAATTTTGAAGAAGCAAAATAGAGTTAGACATCTCTGGTAGACAAATTAATTAATTAGTTAATATATGAGTGATTTACACCAGTACCAATTATTTGCACGCACGCACACACACATTTAGGGAAAAGAGTAACTTAATTTGAATATTACTAGTAGTAATACTTACTACTTATAAGTAGTATATAGCTAAATACCTAAATAAATGAATAAATAGCTAAACATAGTAGGAAGCGTCTGAAATGACAAATTTATAATTTTCTAATTGTTCTGGTGTAAATTTCAACGATTGTTCATGCCATACTTCTTGATGACTACGTGAATATGCTGAGAGAGTTGATGAAATCACTTGTTTAATTGGTTGTGGATCATGTATATGATTGGATAATTCTGAGATTATCATTGGTAGATAATCAGGTGTTGTATGCGGATGTCCATGAATAAATGAACATAAAGCTAATACTGATCGATAACGTGTTTTTACAGCTTGACGATATTCACTGTCACCATCATCAGCAACAGCATCAACATTATCAGTTGGTGTATTGTTTGAATGAACAATATGACCATTGTGTAATTGATGATTTATTGATTTTGGTAAAGGTTGATTGATTTGTTTGATTAATTGACGAATCCATTTTTCATCATACTAAATAAATCAATGATAATAATAATAAAACAAATAATGAGAACACATATTAACAAATATACGCATAATATTATTAATATAGTAAACAAAAGTTTCAGCCTTATTGGTGTTAACCGAACGTCGGCGAATATCGTACAATTTGTGTGTTAGACTTTATACTTCGTGAAGGACACAGTGAAGTATAACGAAAACAGAAATGCAATAAGGCATAACAGACAGAAATGTATGGCACCATGGATAATAATGTATTAATATTATTCTTTTACGTTCCCAGTGGAACCATAGGGCTTCAGGCTAGAGCTTTGAAGTTTCAGTAGCACTGGTTTTTTTACGGGGTGGGGTTTTTCGCCTCACTCCCAACCTCCCCTCTCTACCGACCTTATTATCAGCTTAGTGAGGTTTAGCGGTGCGTCGACCGAGGACCCAAACCTTGAACCACGTGCGTGGTTGGCGAACGTTCTACCGCTGAACCACCAACGCATATGGAGAATACTGAGGGGGATTTAGGTCACTTGAACCATTGTGAAGGATTTTGGACCATCTTGAGAACTGTTTCGAAGCCATTAATTCTTAAAATGTTCACTGACTGACTGGTTTCAGTATAGAACTTTGTACATATATGCAGCAGTTCCTGTTGCTATACTCCACCCCATGTAGCACACAAACCAAATGAAGACAGTAAAGAGAGATTCAAAAGAGAGAGAGATAATAAACACAAGTGTGAGGCAAAAAGAATAGTAATATGGAAAAACAGCAGAGTTTTATTGGATATGACTGGCAAATCACAAAGGTTGAATGGATTTGAGCTATAAATAGAAAACTACTTTCAGCCATATCACCACTACTTGTCTCCAGCCTACATTGGGTTCTTACGATAATCCCGACAACCCCAACCAGTCTACACCTCCCTACGTGGCTGGCTGTCTGATTCTTAAAATGTTCACTGACTGACTGACTGCCTGGTTTCAATATAGAACTTTGCACATAGGTGCAGCAGATCCAGTTGACATACTCCATTCCCATATACCACACAAAGCAAGAGAAGACAGTAAAGAGAGATTCAACAAAAGGGAAAGATAATAAACACAAGTTTGAGTGAGGGAAAACGAATAGTAATGTGGAAAAACAGCAGAGTTTTATTGGATATGACTGGCAAACCACAAAGAGTCAGCCATATCACCAATTGTTTCCAGCCTTCATTGATTCTTACCATCATTCCAGTCTACACCTCCCAACGTGGTTGGCTGGCTTAAACTAACTGTTATGGATTTTCGAATCAGCTGAATGACCTTACTCCAGTTGATGAGGACAAGAAGAGCTGGTTCAAATCTAAGCTGGTCGACGTTACAAATCAATGCCACATTTCACCAACGTCATATTCCAAGACCCTCTCTGAAGAGCGTCATAAGGCATTGAAAGCTCTTAGAAATAATAATGTTATTGGATTTTATTTACTGATGAAGACAAGTTTTCGTTTGATCACCTTTAGCTATTTTCCAACGTAGTCCTATATATCATGTCCTAACCATCTCAATAGATGTGGCTGCTTCACAACCTCGTCGGTTGATTTTCCATTCTCATATCTAACACTACACTTAAAGCCATTGTTACTATACCACATAACACGAGAGTTAAAACGCAAGACGAATTCATGTTATGCAGTTAATCAATAGATATAACCGTTATCTATTCCAGTTTTCACACATTTTAGCATTTACATGCATGTGTAGGATGCAAAAAAATAGGCAGAGAAACAGATTAACAGATTGTACACCACATACAACTGTATCACTGACATAAATCTTAATAGTACACACAAAACTAAATTAACACAATACCTATATGAATATTTAGAATTACAAAAATGATGAGGATGAAATGTGTACATATACATATACGCATTGTTAAGCTTTCATTAACTAGTGTGGTGAGAGCTGTCTGCTAGCCAAAATTGGTAGACACCAATTGACGTCAATGTTTACGTACCAAATCTTGGTCATTAGAAAAGACAAAAACAAAGCTTAACCTTAAGGAACTCAACAACCAATCACAGCAGACTTAACGTGGGAGGATACGATTCACAGATATATCAACGGACTGTCTAAGAAATAGCCACAAAGAGCTGACAGAATAACCTTCAGCAGGAAAACAACCAATCAGAAGATGATGCTTCTCTACTAACAATAACGCTAATAATAATGTACATAAAAATCGATAAATATCTGTTGATTTTCTCAATAACTAATCTGTTGCCTGGCCATTGTCTTCTTCATATATTGATAACTTAAAGTGAACCCTTTGTTCAACTCATTTAAAATATGATTAACCATTCCTTTTCTTGTACAGAACAAATGTCACAGTTAGTCAATAGGTGCATTACTATCTGACTTGCTTTATTTCTTAAAGGCTACTCTTCCTGAAGTCTCACTTGACATGTACAACACTACAAAACTGCTTATGTTAAACATTCCACAACCTGCAAATGCTTCACATATATCTCAGATGTAGATTAAAAGTATGGGGGAATCTTGTACGATATACTTGCCCACATAACGTTTTAATCCTAAACATGACTTTCTGTATAAATACTAAGATTTTATGATTAATTCGCTTATTAAAAATGATGTGAACATTTGAGACAATAGACAATAAACAAGTGTAGCTTTAAAGGTAACGACGATCTCCCCTCGAAAATTGTCTAATACTAGTGAAAATATCCATATTTCTCTATCCAAAGGAAGGATTTGACTCTACCGACTGAGAGGTGCTATGGTAATATCTTGTCATAAAAGGGGGGGGTTCCAAAAAGGTATATCACACCTGATCAAGGCATTCTACTTGAGCTCATGCAGTCATGAAGTGATGACAGCTGCTGGTGTCCATCATATTTATTTGATTTCATCGTAGATGTACTAATGCATATGACACTAATCGCTTTTAGAGACTTAAGGATTTACTTGTAATCGAAGAAGAGTTTCGTTGACTTAGAGCATGCGGAGTCTTCTGGACATTTTGAGCAGAAATTTTCGAATATTTTACATGTCATACGTCCCCCGTCAATTGTAAAATAATGTTGGACGACTGAAATGACCCGAATCCTGGCTTAAAGATAGGGGAGTAGAGTCACTGAGTATGTTGGCCACTCTGCTTATTTAGCCAGTTGCATCCATCCCAATGGATTGACGGCTGATGAAATCTCAACACGTATACAAATGGTTCGTGTGGCATTCACCAAATCACGTCATCTCTGGTGTATACGTGATATCCGACTGACTATCAGTTAAAAGATATGTGTACTGAACGGCAATTCGTACCGTCCCTCTTTATGATTGTGGAAGACGACCGTCGAAAGTGGGAAATATGAAGAGACTAGCTGTTTTTGACAACAGATGTTTGAGTTATATCTCTCGGGTTAGTTAAGTAGTATAATATGGTGAGTAATACTGAGGTCAGGTGTAGAGTGTCAGACAAAGAGTGCAGGTCAGTCAATCAGATTGTGAAGCTGCATCGAATGAAATGACTACGACATATGTTACGCATGTTAAGCCGCCACCTTAGGTTTTAAAAGAGTTGAGGGTGGTCAAACATAGGGACTTTGGCAGTTGGTTTAAGTCATGTGGGCTGGTATACACTGCCTAGTTGGGGTCCTCGGGGTTTTAACGACTGATGGTTGGAGACAACTGGTATTACGGATAAAAACATTTCTCCAAGATCCATTAAGTCCTCTTGTCTTTTTCTATGTTACTATTCTTTCTTTCTCTCACACCCTTCTGCTCATCAGAGTTCCTTTCAGATTTCGCTTTTCTCTCTTTTCTCTGCCTCTGTGTGCTCCACGAAGTGTGCGGCAAGCAGAACGTGACATTCGATTGGTCTTCGACCAAAGGATGTGTGTACTACGCAAGAGTTTGCTCCATCCTTCTTTAAGCTAGCTATGAGACGTGGCCACTGAAACTAGAAGACAAGAAAAGGCTAGCCATTTGCGTTCTATCTCACGTGTTAGGTGACAGGTGTAATAAGGTGAGTAATGTAGAGGTTATGCTTCCGTGAAGTGCTAGGTAGGTGGGAGGGGAAATCAGTCGACGAGGTTGTGAAGCAGCCAAATCAATTGAGACGGTTAAAGCATGCATTTGTCACACATGTATTCTTAACCATCACCTTCTTCGAAGAGGAATGTTAGCTAACATAGGATCAGGTCTGCTGCTGCTGCTGGATTCAACATAGAACTTGGCACCGAAGTGCAGCAGTTCGAGTTGCCACGTTCCAAATGGCACACAAAGGTAAACAGGAAAAGGAGAGAAGAGGATCAGGTCGGAAAACACAAACATGATTTCATCAGTCTATCAAATCCACAATAGTTAGTTGAGCCAGACAGCCACATAGGGAGGTGTAGACTGCTTGCCTGACTGACTCGTCGGGGTCCTCGGGATGATGGTAAGAACCCAATGAAGGCTGGAGACAATTAGTGGTGATATGACTGGCTCAAAATTCTCATTGTCAAAGGCTGGCGTAGATGCATTCACTCTCTGTGATTTATCATATATCCAATCAGACTCTATTGTTCTTCTATATATGACTACTATTCTTTTTGCCTCACTACCCACACTTCTGTTTATATTATCTCTCTTTACTCTCTTCTCCTGCTATGTGTACCACATGGGGTGTAGAGTGTGGCAACTTAAAGTGATTCACTTAAGTGTGCAACTCAACACAACGAAATATGAAAAGCATTCACATATACATATATTCTCAAAAATATTTTAACAGCAGGGAAAAAGAAAAGAAGCGAAAATATTTTATTTTCCAGGTATGAAGAATTTCTTATCATAAGAAAAGAAGAGAAGCAAACTCTTTTCGTTTTCTACACTGTATACCCATCCCTTATTTCTACTATCCATCATAGGTGTGTGTGTGTGTGGGTGTGTAACTTAATCATCTGATGGTTTCGAAATAAGCAACCTATTGTAGAATAGTTACATTACATTGATGACTTATGACAGTGTACTTCTCTTATTTTGTTTTGTTCTACACCCTATACTTGATTATACACACCACTATCAACAAGAACCACAAGTAAACAACATACAACAAAAAACCACCACCAACACCACCATCACAGCAACAACAACAACAGCAACGTGACCAAGGAGAATAAACACGAAGGAAAAGAAAACAATAGATGTTAAAACACAATATATATATCACAGATGCATCTCCATTTCTAGTAAAAGATAAAAATAAAACAAACAAACAAACACGAACGGCTTTTTCTGAAGTTAAGAAATTGGAGGCAATTTATTGCAGTAATTTCATCAACAATACTTGATATTACTACTTAAAAGAATGAGAAAGCTTACACATTTATTCCCCTTGATGAATTTGAATCAAAACAAGAATACAACAATGTGGTTTGTGCAGAATACCAAGATGATACAATCATTGTTTATCTCGTTCGTTGGATTCTTATCAACCAAGCTGCTTACAGCTTAAATTAATTATTATCAAGCTTATGTACAGAAGCAATTTTAACATACTAGCAAATTTTACATGATGTCAATTGATAGGATGTTCCGTGCCTAATGAACAGTGCTCAGAAAATTACACCTGTGTAGATTTTACATAAAGAGTTCAAGTTCTAACAGAGTAAATGTATGCATTCAATGGTAAAGGAGTTACGTAATAAAGACAAGAGGTGCGTAAGATGATGGATGGGTAACTAATAAATTAGGCAATAATGTACTGAGTTCAACTCGAATCATAGAAACAAAAGAGACAAGCTAAGTTATATGATATCAAATGGAGGAGGTGAGGTTAAAGTCAAAGATTACGTAATCGGTCGAGAGAGAGAGACAGAGTTAACAGTTAATAGATGTAGTCATGGGCAGTCCAATTAGTCCTGTTTTAGCAGATATCTTTATGTCTAACCTTGAGAAAACAAAGCTGAAGCATGCAATCGATAAAATAACTTCTCATTGTCGATATGTAGATGACACATTTGTGGCGTGCAACAGTGCAAGTTATGTTTCCTACCTACTCAGATTATTCAACAACGCACATACAAATATTGAATTTACTATGGAACATGGAAATGATGGCAAGTTCCATTTCCTTGACATTGCCATGCAACGCCTAGATGATAGTAGTCTCTTGAGGTCAATTTGCGGAAAGCTGACATGGAATGGACAGTGCCTACACTTTAATATTTTTTTTGTCTAAATAGCTTCAAACGAGCATTAGTCAAAACTCTGTACTATAGACCGAGGAGAATATGCTCTGCAGAGAAACCAGAGGAAGAATTTACGGTTCTCGAAAAGGAAGATGTGAAGGCTCAAACCTCAAACAAATCACAGTTCAAAAAAGCCTGTCTTTATTCAACTAGATTTTAAAGGTGATATTACTGCAGGAATAGTCAACAGGAGATTGAGGACGTCACTAGCCAGAGCCTATCATGCAGCTAAGTTGGTTCCCGTCCCTCGAACAACATGCTCTTTGGTGCAATCGAAAGTCGACAGATACCCTTCTCATGTTAACAACTCCAAATGTGTGAACATTTATATTATGATTACAAAGAGAAGAGCACACCTACCATTTTCTGAATATGTATCGAAAAGTCTAGGTCTCAAGGGGTCAAGCGCTTTCAATGGTGTCATTGTCAGACATTTCCTTGATACGGATCATGAGGTGGACAACACAAAATCCCTCAAATAGCTTAATTCTCCCCAAGATTGACGAAGCAATCTCCATGAAACGCCTGAAACCTGATTTATGTGTTCATAAAGAAGTAGTTATCAGCAACTAATGGATGTCTTTATTCTCTCTTTCATTTCATATTGGTGTAATTTTGCTTGTCTCTTGTTTCCATGACTTGAGTTGAACTCAGTACATTGTCACCCAATTTATTAGTTACTCATCCATCATCTTACTCACCTCTCGTCTTTATTACGTAACTCCCCTACCATTGTATGCATACGCTGATTTTGTTTAAACTTGAACTGCCTGTGTAAAAACTATATAAGCGCAATTTTCTGAGTACTGCTCACTGACTGAGGAACTTTCTGTCAACTGACATCATGTAAAATTCGCAAGTGTGTTAAAAGTGTTTCTGTAAATGAACTTAATGATAATTTTTTTTGATTACAGCTTGATTCCACACAGTATTTTTGATACAAATATGGAATCTTCAGCATGTGATATCGGTAGCCGAAATTTCGCAGGCCGACCATTGATAGCAGGTTTTCATCGGTGGCCGGTGATCGAACCCCGGACCACGTGCATGATCGGCGAGCGTCATAACCACTGTGCCACCGAAGCACAGCCTCACGTCCAACCTTCCCTATTTACTGGGTGTACTATCAGTCAGTAAACTAGATGAGGCTTAGGAGTGCATCTGTCAGGAATCAAACAAGAAAGACCACTTGAAAGGGTTGGTTAGCATTTCTACTTCTTGAACCACTGAACTACAAAACAAATAATAGTATCGATTGTATGAAATCAGTTATTTTTGTCTTTTTTAAAAAAAAGATTAAATAATTTCTTTTTACGAGTTGATCACCACGGACTGATATCAGTTAGAGAACCATTGAAAACCAGCATGGAGTACTGGACAGCTGTTTGATCCCACTAGTTCGGGAATCATCGCCAGTACGCACCCACTGCCAGGGTTCGAACCCACGACCTTCCGGTGTTACAAGGCAAGCTCGTATATCATTCAGCCACTGGGACCTGATTCAATGGCCAGCCCATGAATTCTAACTTCTACCAATTCGTGATTTAGCGCGACCACCAACCAATGTCGTTAGTGGGACATCCATCCTCACACTTGACATTTGGATGGACCTCACTGGTCACGACTTCTCACTAGAACTCCAGGAAACTCCTTCCTGTAGCCAGTTACTAGCGCCCATCAGATTAATTTTCAAGAACTGTCCAGTACTCCATGCTGGCAGGTATTCAATGGTTCTCCAATTGATATCAATCCGTGATCAACTCGTAAAAACAAAACCAATCCTTACAAACCAACTAAAGAAAATTAATCTGATGCTTGCTAGTGACTTGCTACAGAAAGGAGTTTCCTGGAGTTCTAGTGGGAAGTCGTGACCAGTGAGGTCCATCCAAATGTCAATTGTGAGGATGGATGTCCCACCGACGAAATTGGTTGGTGCCAGTCGCGCTAAATCACGAACTGTTAGAAGTTAGAATTCATGGGCTGGCCATTGAATCATGTCTCAGTGACTGAATGGTATGCGAGCCAGCTTGCTTGTAACCTGGGTTCGAACCCTGGCAGTGGGTGTATACTGGCGATGATTCCCAGACTAGTGAGATGAAACAGCTGTCCAGTACTCCCTGGTTTTAAATGTTTCTCTAACTGATATCAATTCATGGTGATCAACTCGTACAAAAAGCAAAAAACTAATCCTTACAAACCAATCACAGAAAAAAAATAATTTCTTACCTTAATTAAATTCACTTCAATAAATACAGCCATAACAAACATTGCTATCTGACTAACTTCTAGCAGGGCATCATTTAAACAATTCCATAGAATTCTTCTTATTTTTTTATTCACATACTTATCAATTGTCATATCTGTGATTAATACATTTTGAGAATTATAAAATGCTGATAAATTAAAGACAACAAGATTTCTAAATAGCAATATTCCAATAGCCCGCGAACGCCATGATGGATGTTCAAGGAAATATTGAACAAATTGTTCAATGGTCGATAGAATTTGTTTAACACTTGTATGACCTTGACCAGATAATGTCATAGTGGATAAATTTATCAAATAAGCTGACACACTATAATTTAAACCATCCATATTCTCATCATCAAATTCTACACCATGATGTTTTGTTTTTGATATCGATGAATTATCATGAAATATGTTCATATTTAATGAAATTGAAAAATAATCATAAGCATTGCCTATTGAACAGATATCTGCAATAAGTGGCATTAAATACTGGCATATTGATGTACAACATGCTGACTGGATTAATTGACTTTCATTATTATTATGCTCATTGGAATCACTATGGATGTTGTTATTTACCGTTGTCGTCGTTGTCGAGTCACTGGTGTCAACGACAGTATCCCCATTTAAAGCATTTTGAATCATTTTAGTTCTGTATACAGGGAAACCAAGTGTCAAGAGTGATGTGAAACATGTATACAAACAGAAAAGACGATTTGACAAGACGATAATCTCCGCTCGACGACAACTTTCATAACTATTATCATTTTTGTCATTATTCATAAGGATGTCATTGTCATCAGTGATAATTTCAGCGGTATTCTATGAAAATATGGGACAAAAAGGAGAATAGGAAAAGTCATTTTAAATTTTTAAAAAAATCAATAACTAAAATGTTCACCTATTTAATCCTTGATAACTTTTTATTGGACTTTACAACATTGACTGACTGGGTTCAACGTAGAACTTCGCACAGATGTGCAGCAGTTCGAGTCGCCACACTTCACTCCATGTAGCACACAAAGCAAGAGAAGAAAGTAAAAAAGAAACGCAAAATATAGACAGTAAACAGAGATATGAGGCAAAAAGAATAGTCATATCGAAGAACAATACAGTTTTATTCCACATTATAAGTTATAAGGGGTGGATGTATCACCGCCAGCCATTGAGAACGATCACTTTGAGGAATATCACCGACTGTCTCCAGCTATTGGTTCTTACCATCCCGAGGACTCCAACCAGTTAGGAAGTCTACACCTGTCTTCCTGCGTAGTTGGCTTAAACTAACTGTTGTGGATTCCATTAATTGATAAAGCCATGTTTTGGTTTCACCACAACTAACTCTTTTCCAACTTGACCCTATGTCAGTCAGCTGACGTTGCTTGTTGTCGAGGAAGGCGATGACTAGGGATGCATGAGTAAAACATGTCCTAACCATCTCAATCGATGCAGCTGCTTCACAGCCTCATCTATTGATTTCCCCTCCTTACCAAGCACTCGACCGATGCCTAACCTCAATATTGCCCACCTTATTATACCACTTTACAAGGGAGATAGAACGCAGACACCTATGATCAAAGACAGCTAGCCAGCCTTTTCATGTCTTCCACTCTAAATGGCCATGTCTCACTCACAGGGAAAAAGAAGAACGGAGAGGACTGCTGAGCAGCACACACGTCCTTTGGTCGACAGCCAGCCAGACGGATATCACATCTAATTATTTGGCATATGCCAAACGAGCCTTCTGTATCCGTTCCGAGATTTCGTCAGCGATCGACCCACGGGGGCTGCGCTGATGCAACTTTCCAAATAAGTGAAGTAAATGGTCAACACTCTCTCCTCCTGTGTTCACTTCAAATGCTTCGTTCAGCTTTCCGCTATGAATCAGTTGGCATGTGACATATATACAGTTACAGAGAGAGTAATAAAACTGGCTAAACTTACTGATATTTTATTATAAATCTCTTTTAAAATAGCAGAATTAATCTGTTCCGGTTCAGCTACTGGTAACTTCAAAGTTGACTTGGATAACTTTACTCCTTTCAATCGAAGAACATTCACGGTGTCTCGGACAAGTAATGGTATAAACTGAAAAATAAAGAAAATAAATACATATATATATATATATATATATATATATTGACGATAAGAGAAAGGAACGTGCATGTAAATAGTGCAATTTTGCATGATTATGACGTGAACCCAGCCTGCTTCGTTTTGCTGAGGCAATCAGCATCAAACGGTTAAAACCAAATCTGTGTACACAGAAAGAGACACTGGTGAATCTTGCACTACCTGCCTTGGTGATAACAAAGCATACAAATTTCACTACGTCATCTTCTATCCTGTTTAGAAAACTTGAATTTTTCGTCTAAACATGACTCATCTTAACAACCACCCCCCGATTGTGTTTGTTTTATAAAAACGTGTTTTTTTGTGGTTAGGTAACCTATTACTTTTTATACTCTTTTTTTAGTATAGCTTGAAACCACACAGTATTTTTAGTACAAGTATGGAATTTTCAGCTTGGATATCGGTAGCCCAAATTTTGCAGGCCGTCCATAGATATCAGGTGTGCGTCGGCAGGGGGTCGAACCCCGGACCATGTGCATGGTCGGCGAGAGTCCTAACCACTGTGCCACCGACGTTATTTCTACCCACAAAACATCTGTTGAACTCTGTCCTTTTGTATCCAAGATTCTTCATGCAATTCTTCTATAAATAGTCGAACCTTTCCACTCTTAACTATTTAACAACTTACATCATTCCTGACCAATGTTACTCTTAGTGCTAATCAATTACTCCTTATCATTCTAAGAAAAAGTATGTCCAGATCTTTAATTTAATTTGTTATTTTGCTATTATTCAGGTTGGATGTAGCCAGTTGAGAAGAATCCACAAAATAATTTTTTTTAAATGATCTCAGATTATCGTGTGCATTGTCACTGAAAGGCGTTTGATGTCATGCAACAAATTCGCTAAAGGAATTTCGTCAGACTGTGAGTACCCACTCTAACCGCAGCTCAAACTTTGTGTCTCCTCAGGTGAAATAAGAAGTCTTTTCAGAAGAATTTATGCACGTACGTCTAAGTAAAAAAAATTCGGCTATACCATATTTGGTGGCACGTACTTTATGTGACGAAAATAGCGTCAGAAATGAACTAACTAACCTTCCTAGAGCCACTAAATAAACCATTCCCTTCACCCTTAAAGCATCATACTTTATTGTTATTGTATTTCTTATATTTATAATCCTCTCAGTTTTTTTTGTTTTGTTTATTTTATTTTTCATAAGTGTGGTCATAATTTTAAGCTGTATTATGACTGTTAACTTTGTATTTCACCTCACTATACCATATCAACAGAACATTAGACCCAATTATCCATAACATGCTAAAGTTTCCAAACTGAATCGACAATACTGTTTGAAACAAACCCACTGTTGTTATTATTATTATTATATCTAATAATTATGTCGTAAATGTGGACAAATTCCTCCGATTAATTTCATTTTAATTTTAAATTTTATATATATTTTGAGTAAATCAGATGCAATCATTGTGACAAATGCTGAGAATTTCATTCTGTATTATAAGTAGTGCTGTTTTTGGAATAAAGTAGATCATTATTATTATTATTATCCTGGTACATATTTGTCGTTCTTGCTTTATTCAAAATTTATTAATGGGAAGAATTTTATGAATTGATTTATGCCTAATTTCGCATAAACATGAAGATTTACAGGAGAAAAACAACAACAAGTTGGCAGGAGGAGAAGAAGAAGAAGCGAAGACAGAACTTCGACTGACACATAGAGACGACCAAAAACCAGCAACAACAAGAATCACCATCAACGGTAAAAATTTGAAGAAAGTCAGTTTTTCCTCATCTTGGTAGTGTCGTCAAGGATGAAAAATGTTAAAGCCAACTAGACCTTTATATTGCAATGAAATCAGTGTGAAAATCTGATGCATACAAGGAGCGCGTTACAGACAGCACTTTCAACAGATGAGTGCAAACTTTCATTAGGCAATGCTTTCGTTCAATAGCAAAGATTAGATGGCCGACTGGAAGAGAGAAAGTAACAGGGAGCTCTGGACGACAGCAAACCAACCAACAAGGTATTGCCGAAAAAATATGCAGAAGGAAATGGAGATAAACTCTGATGAGGCATCAAGTGCTAGTCCCGCGAGTGAAATCTGAATAGGAAATAACGAGTTTGGCACGACTCCTAGGGTGACATGGAGGAGGCCACGTGAGGAGGAGTAGGTGATTAAAACTAATGGCTAATGGCGAAACAGCTAGAGAAAAAACTACAGAGAAGAGTATGAAATGGTGATATGCTACTGAGGTCTTATTTTCCGTTAAGAAACTGTTATGAACCCGTCGCCAACTGATACTCTAGATACGGTTATCCGTCCCTTAGTATCTTCCGATTTACTGAGCAACGTAAATATCGAAACACAAAGACTGGTCTGTGACTAGCGGGATACAACTTTCGTAGGAAAAAACACATATCATATATATACATTTCTAACCAGATTAAAATTTACCTAGGACGGTGGAAAACAGATTGTTCAGACTGGTAAGCAATTCGTCTTGGTCGGCGAACAATAAATATTCTGATTGGTTGTCGATTGGTCCAGGAGCAAAGTGAGAAAGAGATGAAATTTTACAGTTATCTGATAACAAGATGATTACTACTTTTAGCTGTTTCTTATCAGAACCCAAGGGAATAGTAATAAATGACAGTCATTGTAGAAACAACATGAAAGCATCAAAGATGGGCCTTCAGGTGAACATACAGAAAACAGAGGTGATGATGAAGATTCCTGGCCTACACCAACAGCAACTACAACAGACAGCAATTAGTCAGCGTAAATGGGAGAAATCTGAAAAAAGCAACCTCCTTTACCTACCCACCTACCAGGGAAGCATCGTTTCAACTACAGACGGATGGAACTGATGAGGATGTCAAAGCAGCGAGGATCGGGAAGCCACTAAAAACTGGATAATATCTTGCTGATGTCACTTCCAACAATGTTTATGAATTTACGTGCACTTGCGAGAGCAAGTACATTGGAAGGACGGAAAGAAAGAAGGGCTTCTATCTGGTTTTCTGAACATATTCCAAGAAACCTATGCCTGAAAGGAAGCAAATATTCTCAGAGTGCAATTACCAGACACACCTTGTTTATACCGGTCATCTCGTAAAGATTTCTAAGTCCTTCAAAATATTAAATAGACAAAAGACAACAAATTTACTACGTAGCGATTAGCCGAAGCGATCTGAATCAAACGATTCAAACCAACCAGATTTATGAATACAGAAAGAGAGTGTGATTAACCTCTCACTCACTCCCTTGGTAACTGAATTTTGATTCTGATTACATTAATTAGTCATCCAATTCAGTGATCTCAATTCACTGAACAAATCTCAATCTTATCAACTGTAACCGCTTTTGTTTTGTGAACATGCTACAAGCTAACACTGTTCTGTTAATTAATTTTTTCTGTTTTCTATCTTACCTTTTGATGATGGAAACTTAAACTAAAGAAATTGTAATGCTGCTTACATTTTGGATGCGCCAGTTTTATAGTGTCTCTTCTCTACTGCCACTTAAACATTAAAGTATGTTATTATCATCATCTATATGTAACCATTGTAATTTCAGGTAGTCGGCAGGGAACCACCAAATGTATGAAATCATAAAATAGTTGACGATTGTCGATAATATGTGGCTGAAAATAGTTTTCACATTCTTGTAAACAAAATAAAACCAGACAATCAATCAGTAAGTCACTAAGTAGCTTCACTTACCACTTTAACCAAAAATTCTCCTCCAGTAAATTTATCATAATTATCTTCTGAATAATTAAATAAACTTTTAGCAAATAATTCATAATTTTGCACAACATTTGTTGACGGTTGTTTTGTTAAGCATAATAGCTGACTTCTCTCTGTTTTATTATTATTATCATTATTATTATTGTTATTATTATTATTCTTATGACGACGAGGATTATATGTAATTATGCTTAAATTATTCTTCTCTTCATGAAGATGTATATTAAATATACACGAGGTATGATAAGTAGCTATAAGGGCGGCTAAATCTCTTATCCATAAGGCATTATTACACGCTTGAGAATACCACCAACAGATAGTGGTGGACTTCTGCTGCGGATGCTCTGATGAACATGGCAACAAGGAGGAGGATCCATTCACTGTCGTCGTCGTCGTCGTCGATGATGGTGATAATGACGAGATGAAGGAGGATTTCTGTTGCTGTTGTGTTGTTGCTTGTAACAAGGATATCAATTTCTCATGTAATGGTATACCAATCCAACCCATTGACATTGTAAACACATAACATATTCTTTCATAGAATACACGACGATGTTGTAATGGTAAGTATTGATTAAGTAGACAAGATGGGCATGTATCAATGTCATCATCATCACCATCATCACCACCGATAGATGATGGCATAATAATAATACTATCATCATCAGATATATCTTTCATATGCTGACAGGCTGATGACTTCATTTGACTCAATGGATTATTATTATTATTATTGTTCTTGTTGGTGTTGCTATGACAACAGCATTCAAGTAAACCTTGTATAGCCCAATCCCATAATGGGTGTAAACAATGAACATCTTGTTCTAATTCATCAATAGCTTCATGTATAACAAAGGCATACATAAAACTGATACGATGAAATGGTCCACCAGCTGACGATTGACTAACCCTGTTGTTAGTGTTATTCACTGATGACGGTTTCTCTGAAAAAGGGATAAACAAAATTCAATTAATTTCTGCTTGGGAACACCTTAACAATTGGGGTTAAATAAAAGTGTAATGAAAACTATATTATTAATAGACAGAAGACAAGTAGTTCAGCGAAGAGTCTCTTTTCGGTGTGTGGAGCCAGGTAAATCGGTCGCTCAACGCGCATCCTATCAAAAAGGGTCAAAGAACACTATCCAGCGTGGCTACAGAAAGGAAGTAATGGCTCATCAACACTGGTCATTCCATCTCAACAAACGCCTCTTGCTTCAAAGTAATCTACAAATTGAAGAACAACCTTCCAAAGACAGTACGATTCCATCTTCTTTGCATCGCAAAAGCCCTAACCATTCAGTTGGAGGAGGAACCAGAACTGTGCATACAAAAGAAAATTATTCAACCACTTCTACTCTCATGGTAGCAACTGTGTTGATTTGACTTAATTTTTCTTTGTATGCTTATTTTTCTACTTAAAACTCTTGCGTAATTTCGTACGTTATTTTGTTTCCATGTACACCCTGACTACAACTCTTTCATCAAACTATTCATGTTATTACGTAACTCTTCTTTAACAATCGTTTGTGACAACACATCACTTTTGTTACTACCCTCTTATATCAACATCCAATTCATCTGAACTTACTAGTTGTATTTTCGTTTGACAAATTTAATGTACACACACATACAAAACAACCATATATATATTTGCGATTGTACAGCTATGAAAGTAAATTCACCGCCGAAAAGAGACTCTTCGCTGAACTACTTGTCTTCTGTCTATTAATGTTCGAATGGGAATTTTTCATGAAAACTATTTTATCGATCAACAATTCGATATTTATTGAAACAATTAATCCCCCTTTGAAAAATTTGAATAAGGTATTTAGTGGAAGACAATTTTCACGAGATGATGGCATCATCGTTTCGTCCTTTCTCTACAATCGCTTTAAAACTAACATGGGTGGTTCACAATATTAAAAATAAAATAAAATGCATGACAATTGCTCAGTTGTTTAATTGAATTTCAGATTTTCCCGTCGATTGATTGATTGGACCGATGTGTTCCTCGTTCTCAGGTTGACATGTCGGCTTGTTGTTCAGATGCTTCGACGACGATGTCTGGGCATGCAATTAGAATTTAATTGTTGGATGATGACTGGCAGTTTTGGAATCCAGGATAACACACATTTTGTCCTATTTAGGACTCGTCAGCTAGCTGGATGTACCAGCATTCCCCAGTGAGTGATGATGATGTTCCCACCGAGGCTCGTTGCACAAGAGGTGGCCAGCTCTCGTGGACCAAGTGGTCTAGTGGATAACGCTTTGGCGTTTGGGACTATGGGCATTCGGTTCGAGCCTCCGTGATGGGAACATCATCATTGACTCACTGGGGAATGCAGGTATATCTAGCTAGCTGACGAGTCTCAAGTAGGACGAAATGCGCGTTGTCCTTGATTCCAACACTGCTGGTCACCATCCACCAATTAAATTACTCAGTTATATAAAACCAAAAGTACATACTAATGACCAATCATATTTAAATAGGTCAAGTAGTCAGTCCGTGGTAGGCGAAGGTTGAAGTCTATTGTGTTATTTTTGTACACACACAGTTTAGGCTGTATGTGATAAATCCAAAGGGCTTCCATCACCTTCAATAATAACCTTGAATTAGAGTTATATGATGAAATAGTTGTGAAACAGTCATAGACCTCTACAAAATAACACTTGAAAAAAGGGTATGAATACAGAGAATTTCATCATGAGTTAACATCGGTTAGAGAACCATTCGAAAATCTGGGAGTACTGGATAGCTCTATTCCTGTAGCCCTAGTTTGGGCCATTTCATTAGTACGCATCCTCCAGGGTTCAAAACCAAGGATTTTCCGGTTACAAGGCGAGCTTGTATAACATTCGGCCTATATATATATATATATATAACCTCGTCTTGTAACCGGAAGCTCCCAGTTTCGAACCCCAGTGGAGTGGGTGCGTACTGCCGAAGAGTCCAAAATGAGGACAATAGAAACAGATGTCCAGTACTCCCCTTGTGGCTGGTTTTCCAATAACTCACCAACCAACCACAGCTCACGACGAAATCCTGTAGCCAATCAAATCATACCAAATCCCTGCAAACCAAAATTTGCGAATACAACAAATCCAGAAATTAAAAAAAACGAATCATCTAACCTGTAGTAGAGTCCACCACATGATCACCTCCGTCATTCGTATCATCATCATCATCATCTCTGCCTCCAGCAAATTTACCAGCATAAAATGATACAACCCATTGGACATGTGTTAACGTTGGATGTAATTTTTCATCAATTGATTGAGCTAAATCATTTACGGATACTTTTAATGCGCATATCTCTGACCAGCATAATATCCGCGGTATCATCCAACGCCAAAAATAATACCGCCATTCACGTGACCATAATTCACTGAGAAGTATCAGTACATTGAGTACAGCACGTATCCAATAGAAACCAATGAATTCAGCTTTTCCATCCAATGGTGAATTTTTTGAATTATTTGGTAAAGTGATTAACAGTGTTTTTATAAAATACTCTATATGCTTTAACATATTCTCTGGACCATAAGCAAGTAAGCATGTATAGACTAGAAAGCGTATTGCATGAGAACAACCCGATTTACCAAGAAATGTTCTATGCATGTATAATAAATTCTTAGCTAATTTAATCCAAAATTCACGTGTTTCACAGCTGTATTGATTAGATAACTTGTAGGCTGATAGATAGGCACATTGTTGTCTTAAGGGATTTTGTGAATCATTTCTAGTGAAATGTGATAACCAAGATTGTTGACTGATGATGATGCTATCAAAGGTCAGAGAATCATCTGGTGTAGTAGGAGTAGCAGCAGTGGTCGCCATATCCTTTTTTTTATCGTTGAACACTGGATAGGGTATAACACAGTCAGGATCAGGGATATACACTTCAGGTGGATAGTAACTGTAAAAATTCAAAAAAAAAGAAAGAAAGAAAGAGATGAAACAAAAGGGAAACGATGACATCAAGATTCGGATCTTCAGCACCAATGTTCAGTCAGTCAGTTAGTCAGTCAGTTCTTTTATATGGATTAGAAACTTCCACTGCTCACATGTCACACAGAAAGCGTTTCTAACAGACTGCCCTGCACACATTTATCAATAGCAGCCACGTTCTCTAGCTTCGGATTGAAGGTCAAATGGTCGGTCGACTAGAAGGAATTATCAACAAGAAACTATGGGAAAAAACCAACTAACCAAGAACCTATTGTTCAACAAATATGCGGGAGAAAATGGAGATGGAGGAGGAGATCGTCGAATGACATCGTGCTCAATACAGGTCACCTCTCGAGTAGAAACCAAATGGATAACGACAAGTTGGGAGTCACTTAGAGGATGAAATGAATGAGGTAGTGTAGTGAGGATGAGGAGGAGGAGATAAGAGATTATGGGCAACCTTGGGTCAAGCTTTAGAGGACACGAGAAAATAGAACGAAGTAGAGGCGTGATATTGAAGCTATATGTTCCACTCGGAACCCAAGGGAACAATAATAATAATAATAATAATATTCGAGACAGAGAATATTTCATTGTCATGTTAGAATTCCCTAAACATATCATGAATTCAAAGTCAATCTGAACGGAGAATACTTTTTTTCAATCAGTTCTCCTCTTCAGGTTCTTACAATTATAAAACAATTATAATATTGGTTGTCGTCACAACAATGGCCAGTTATGCGGTGGATACATCTTTTTACGTAGAATAACAGATTGTTAGTTACAGGGTGTCAAAATAAATAGTCGTATTTGTGTGATAAACGTAGTGCTCTGGGCTGAAATCGACTACAAAATTTTTCGGTGAAATGGGAGACAATGTTGGTGATTAATCATAATAGATTTGTAGAGTGTGGGGTACGAAAAATTGACAAGTTAGTTCAAGGTTATAAAAGGTGTCAGGTGAGTGAGTGGAGCGGCTAGTACAAAGTGGTATGTATTAAAGAGGAGATAGATAGTAAGACTGCAATGAGAGGTTCATAATGAAATAACGAATGTGTGAAATGAAACAGGTGGAGGCATACATTGAGAAAAGAGATAATATCACTAAGAATAAGTCCGGATAGTATAAAGGGAAAATTCGATTGTGTTGAGAGAATGTTTGCATGATGGGTACAAATTATGACGAATAATAGTAATAATTGTAATAATAAGCAAAGAAAGAAAAAAACCAAGAGGATTAAGGGGAAGCACTCTTGGTGAGAGGAATCATCAATCCAAGTTTGGCCGCGGTACGAACAGCGTCTGGACGTGTTCTTTTTGGATACAAAGTTCTGGTGAAGTCGATCTTATTGCGACAGTTTTAGCTATGTGTAGCAGACGTAAGCGAACTGTACGACTTCAGAATTCTGTATATAACCCTGAAAGCTGTGTTGACGTCCATGATATGTCCAGCATCGAGCTTTTCATGCACTTAATTTCTCCCTTGCTGAACCCAGCTGTACGTAATTATAACTAATCACTCTATCTGACCAATCTGTTTATTATTATTATTATTACTCCCTTGGGTTCCGAGTGGGACATAGGGCTTCAACAACACAACTCCACTTTGTTCTATTTCCCAGTGTCCCTTTAATCTGGGTCGACGATTGAACATAATCTCTCATCTCCTACACGCAACACGATCTCTTTCATATCACTCTCGGACCGACGGCAAACTGGTGGCTTCCCATGGGAGTTCCACTCGAGCAATGGCCTGCATTGCACGCAATGTCATTCGACAGCCCTCTCAGCGTATGTCTGATCTATCTCGATTTCCTCTGACATGTGTTGAGCGATCGGCTTTTGGTTGGTTGGTTCCCAGTCAGAGTTTCCGATTGTCAATTCTTTCTGGCAAGCCACTTGATCTTCAGTATGAAACCAGCGAAGGCAGCTGTTGATGAAAGTCTGCAGTGGACTCGTGGAAATCCTTTTCGTGACGCATGCGCAGTGCAAGTGTCTGACCCATATAGAACTGACTGACCTAACATTGCTGCTGAAAAGCTGAATCTTGTTCTTTATGCTGGCTGAGTCAGTACAGAAGATTTACGAACTGGTTTCACGCTGATAAAGGCGTATCTCACCTTTCCGACCCCACCTAACTTTGACATCTTCATCCGTCCCGTCTGCCTGTAGTTGAAACGATGCTTCCTAGATAAGTGAAGGAGGCAACCTCTGTCAAATCTCTCAAGTTGATGGTGATGGGTGCTGATTGTTCTTGTTATTGCTGTTGCATTTGGTTATCTTCATCACCTCCGTCTTCTCCATGTTCACCTGGAGTCCTGTCTCCGCTGCTTATTCTGCCAGTTTGTTGTTTCTCGTCTGTCACTCTTCTAGATTGTGTGTGTGTGTGTGATATTTGACATAAATCATACATGCGCGAAATCCAGATCTTCTAGAGTTTTCTTATCGGTCGTCCAGCGTATTCTTGTCTCCTTACTCCCTAAGCACATTTTCACGGATAATCCAGTCCACCACAATTAAGAATATCATCCGTGGTGATAATAGGCACGCAGTCAGCTTCTCTTACTCCTATATTCACTTTGAACGCTTCTCTGAGTTTCCCGCTGTCGACAACCTGACACGTGGCATTCATTAATCCATTTACTTTTCGCCTATTAAATCTAGGCCTCGCCTACTGGGTTTCCCCCCTGGGCCGGTGCGCCCCTCCTTAGTCGACCTAGACAACCCATCCTCCGACAGGTCATCCATATCGGCGCTGTGCTCAGCGTGGACGCCCGATCAACATGAGCACCCATATGCCACAATTCCCGGTCCCGCAGAATTCAGCACCCTGGTCTCCAAGTAGTTAGATTCCAGGCGTACGCCACCACGCCCAGCCCAATTAATTACCTGTAGATAGTAAGCCCAGAAAGGAGGGAAGACTGAGTGTGAGGCTAGCAACCCTACCGTGTTAAAAAATGCATCGACACCACCGTTACTCAGCTGGCTTCAAAACTTGAAGCGATATGTTCCACTCAGAACTCAAAAAGGAATGGAAAATAAAATGTGCCCGTGTATCAATATATTTTGTCAGCTAATTAATATTGTGAAGTGAAGAAGTTAGAATGTATACATCTTCTAACTATTTCATCTTTCTTTAAAATAATAATTTTTTTAAAACAACAGACGGAAGAACAAAGAAGAAAAAGAATATTACACAAGAACAACTAATTAGATATTCATACAGTTGGCAATCAGCCAAATAGTTATTGTATAAGCCTTTTTTAATAGCACTTTGTCCAATTAAATCTAAGTAGATAGATACTACAGGATTCCAACGGTTAATTAAGTAGTGAAACATTAACAGCTACTTAGTTACATATTGATTCATTTAAGTTAATTTTATTTTTTTACGACTTTGACAACGGATTGATATCAGTTAGAGAACCATTGAAAACCAGCCAGCATGGAGTACTGGACAGCTGTTTCATCCTAGTTTGGGAATCGCCGGCAGTATGCATCAACTGCCAGGGTTCGAAACCAGGACCTTCCGGTTACAATGCAAGCTCGTATATCATTCAGCCACCGGGACCTGATTCAATGGACAGCTCATGAATTCTAATTTCTACCAATTTGTGATTTAGCGCAATCCCAACCAATATCGTCGGTGGGACTTCCATCCTCACACTTAACTGGATAGACCTCACTGGTCACGACTTCTCACTAGAACTCCAGGAAACTCCATCCTGTAGCAAGTCACTGGCGAGCATCAGATGAATTTTCAAGCGAACTCTTGAAAATTTTATTTTTACCATTGATTGATTATATTCGACAGAATTGTCACGGTGCCTAGTACGAGAGCTTCAGCGGTGTTTGAGGATTCACATCGACGGTGAATGGTGACTGACTAGTAGAGGAATCCATGTCGACCAGATACATCTAGCCAATGGGTAGTCAACAATGATGCTGAAATGGACATTCTGCTGGATTCCACTGCTATCGAGCACTTATATCGATTTATTTATTGAATACAGACCACACACACACATAGAGAATACAGTTTAATAATAATACTGAACAAAGTTTCCAAACACAATTTATTTTTCATAACCAATTTTATCAACTGTAACTTCATAGATTTAAGACACGTTTCGAATAATTCTAGTTCTCTATCTCCCATGTTGGGTGGTAGGTGGGATAGGGTGAGTAATATTCAGGTAAGGTGACGAGTGTTAGGTTAAGAGGGAAAGTTTGTCGACGAGGCTGTGACGCAGCTATATCGATTGAGATGGCTAGGACAAGTGTTATTCATGCATCCCTAACCATCGACTTCCTCGACAACACGCCATGCCAGCTGACAGATATAGGATCAGGTTAGAAAAGAGCTGGTGATGATCAGACCAAAACATGGCTTCATCAATCAGTGAGATATATAACAGTTAGTTTAAGCCAGCTAGCCAACTAGGGAGTTGTAGACTGCCTGCCTACCTTGGTTTGAGTCCTCAGTATGGTAAAAAGCAGTGAAATCCAGAGACAATGGGTGATATGGCTGGCTCAAAATCCTCGTCCTCAGTGGCTGGCTCAGATGCACTCTTTGTGATTTGCCAGTCATATCCAATAAGGCTGTATTGTTCTATATTACCATTCTTTTTGCCTCACTCACACTACTGTTTATATTATCGCTCTTTTTAATCTCGCTTTTACCTCTTTACTCTCTTCTCTTGGTCTGAGTGCTACAAGGAGGTAGAGTGGCAACTCGAAGTGGTGCATAGCCGTGCAAAGTTCTCTGTTGAAACCAGTCAGTCAGTCAGATATCATGTATGGGTGCTAACTCCTGACATACTGCATGTTTTCTCAGTTGGTTCGATAATAAATAGAGCTTCAATTATCCATTTCTGTCTCTCCTGTGTTACATTAGATTTTAAGACTGACACCTCGTCCAATACTACTACTGTGTGACGGGCTAGACAGGCTGATAATTGAAGCTTTATTTATCAAATCCGTTGAGAATGTAACTGTATTAGGAATAAGCCCACACCTACTCCAGATGTCTGGAAAATTCTACTACCCCTACGACAAATGGGCGGGAACAAGGAGAACTATAAAAATTAAATTTCGAAAGAGTGTATAGTCACACACCTGAAAAATCTGATTATAAACAATAAATTGTTTACTTTTCAATATTTTCGTTAATATACCAAAAAAACAACAAATGAATTCCAGATTAGGTTTTAAAAATTGAAATTAGTTAGAGAACTAGTGAAAAGCAACGGAGACTACTGAGGAATAACTGTTTCGTCCCAGTTTGCAACTCCTCATCAGTACGCACCTATGACTATAGCAGGAACTGGACTGAGGACCTTCAAGATATACGGTAAAAATCTGTAGTCTAATGAGCTAATGTTACTTTGTGATCTAGCTTGACTGCCTAACGTTGATGGCCTGCTTAAAATTTCGGCTAGAGAAAGTACCTCCATCAATATATATTGCGTATAATTTCACCTATTCTGTTTGTTGAAATCTAGTAAAATATCAACTCTAATATTAGTGTGTACTCTGGCGAGTATTTAAAACATTTACAACCAGCTCATTTGCAAGATTCTACTAAACATGAGTTGAAAAAGCATTATCCTCGATGGATGACAGCTTATCCTAGTATACATGACCGTTCTTGAGTGGTATGCCTGAAGTCTTTATAACTGGCATTCAACAAAATGTCGTGTATTTCTCGAAGGAGAAAAAGAAGAGATATAACATGATGGATTGGTTTGCGTATGTCCTACGATCTACTATCAATTAATCATTTATTTGAAGATTCTAGCCGGAGAGAAAATACTATGCGTAATGAACTGCGCTGAAAATTCTGTACATTATAAAAACATTGTTCAGAATGACGGTATTGTTGGTGTTGTTTGAATGAAATGAAGGCACACAGTGATATTTTTGGTATAAATGTTTTCTTTTTTGGAATGCTTTGATAACATTCGATTTCTTTCAATATTGTCTGTCTGTCTTCGACACAGAACTTTGCACCGATGTGCGCCAGTTCAAGTCGCCACACTCCCTCAATACAGCACACAAAGCAGGAGAAGAAAGTAGAAGAAATGCATAATAGAGACAGTAGACAGGGATATGAGACAAAAGGAATAGTAATAACGGAGAACAATATAGTTTCATTGGAAATTATAAGTCACAATGAATTGATGCATATGCGCCATTGACAACCAGGATTCTGAGCCATATCACCGATTGTCTCCAGCCATTGGTTTTTAGCGTCTCGAGGACCCTAACCAGTCAGTCAAGAAGTCTACACCTTCCTACGTGGCCAGCTTAAGTCAACTGTTGTGGATTTCATTGACTGATGGCGCCATGTTTTCGTTTGATCACCACTGGCTTTCTCTTTCCTAACCTGACGCTATGTCAGCTAGCATTGTCTGGTGTCCAGGAAGGCGATGACTAGGGATGCATACGTAACACATGTCCTAACCATCTCAGTCGATGTAGCTTCACAGCGTTGCCCATTGATCTCCCGTCGCACTCACCTAGTACTCAACGCCTAACCTGAATATTTCTCACCCTATTATACCACTTCACTTCAATATTGAGTAAATTTCAATGGATATCATTCGTTGCTTAGCATACTAGAGCATATAACTGCAAAACTGTCCTAAATGGTCGAAATTAATAATTACTTACAGTCTGAGTAGGAGAACACTTTAGCGGACTGGCGTCGTACCTGAGGAGCATGGATCAGCAATGATGAAAACGCTTAGACTAGGGCGAAACAGACATAAAACACTCCCCCCAACTTTTGTGTGCCCGTGATTCAAGGATAGAATGCTTACCAACCCGACTGCTCACGTGATGAGAGTTTGATTACCAGCCGACTCAATCCTAAACCTCACTTATCCGCTAGTAAGGTTGATGGGTTTGGGGGGGGAGCGGGGAGAGGCAGTAAAGCGTTTAGTCCCACTCTGTGAACACCACGGCTACTAAAAAACTTCACAAAGGATAGAAATAAATTCACCAAAAAAATAAAATAAATGACATAAAATTTAAGACTTACACAAAACCACAATGTAATGATCCAATATGATGATGTTTTCTATAGGCATCATTCGACTGTAATACTTTAGCATTTTCATCAAATAAAAGAAATTTATTATCAGGACGTGGACCAGCAATAATATTCGGTAGACAACTTTCTCCCTCATGATGATCCTCTCCAGTTGATTTTTCTTTACATACTTCAGCTGGATAAATACACTTCCCTAATGGTTTACGATAATATCCCACTAAGGTGTAATTCAACTCTGCAATACATCGAATTGCAGTAAATGCTACTTCCGTCTGTTCACATTTCATTAATTCGAACAGAGTATGAATAAATTTTACAGATGGTGGACACAACACTGGTTCAGTAAGACAGTTCACGCTGGATTTCCATTGTGGGGATAATGGTTCATTCATAGGGAAATGTAAAATTTGCAATAAGGTGGTTATAAACATCCAACTACTATTGCAACTATTAACAGAATTCAAATCATCATCAGTAGTATCGTGTGGTAATGAATCTTTACTTGATATTTGTAAATTTTTACAAAAATTTGAACATATTTTAACAATATATTCAGAAATTTTTTGTGTATATAATGTTAAGGCTTCAATACGCTTTTCAATGACTTTATTGATTAGTTGATTTGGTGTGTTCAATGTTTCAATGGCAGCGTTACATGTTGAATTACTGCCGTTATTATTATTATTATTATGTTGAAATGCATGATTTAAACAATAATCAATTTCAATAAAAATTTTAGATAACCAACTATTTGGTGGAAGTTTATCCTTTGTTGGAAAATATAATATCACATCAATAGGAAAATGTTTAAATGTACGTAATATCTGAGTGATTAAATGTTCCAATTGATCACGATTTGTTTGAAGTTGTTTTAACTGACGTTTTCGTTGGTGTTGTTGTTGTTGTTGGTTATGGCGGTCTTTTGATTTTTGTCTAGTATTATCCTCACGATAAGGTGAATTGTCATCAATCTGATCATCATCATCATCATCACCATTAACGACTTCATGATGAATAGTATTCACAGTAGGGTGGAAATCATTAAACCAAATAGAATTTTCTTTCTCATAATTCATTAATTGTTGAATAATGCATAAACAGAATTGGACAAATAGACACGGATCTAAACGGAATAATTCATCATATTCACGATCAGTATGATGACGACAAAAGACACGTTTACATAGTGTAATAGCAGATATACGTCGAAAGTGGATTAACTTTTGCTTGGTTTCAAGTGAAGAAGCAATTAACGATGAAATTTGTTGTGCATGTGTATTTGTATTCAAGGCGGATAAAGATGAAGACGATGAAGAACCTGATGCTGAAGATATTAATGATGCACTAGACGAAGATATTGATGCATTGATATCAGGGATTATATTGTCTAAACGTTGGATCATTGACTTCAATAGTTGACTACCAATCTAAACAAAAAAGGGGGAGAGATAAATTTAAACACCGTAAAAGAAGCTGTGGGTGTTATTCAAAAACTACAGGTTTTTATAATTTTTATTTTATTTCTTTACGTTCCTAGTGAAACATAGGGCTCCAAGTTAGAACAATGGTATTTATTTTTACAGGATCGGGTTGCTAGCCTCAACTGACTCAACCTTCCCTCTTTACCATACTTATTATTGGCTTAGCCATAGCCGTCATAAACAGGCGATTCTTTTAACAGTGGCTATCCCATTACCTTTCTTATCAGAAACTTCCTGTTTATTCATGTTATTAAGTTTTTCTTAGTCCCTCCACTATTTATTTATTTTTTTCGATTATAGCTTGATTCCACACCGTATTTTTGGTACAAGTATGGAATTTTCAGCATGCGATATCGGTAGTCCAAATTTGCAGGCCAACCATTGATATCAGGTGTGCGTCGGCAGGGGATCGAACCCAGGACAATGTACATGGTCGGCGAGAGTCCTAACCGCTGTGCCACTGACGCACACTACCCATATTTTCATATTTACGCTTCCTGTCTATTTCGTCGTTTTATCATTTCCACATATTTAGTCCCTGACTGCATAAACGATTATTCGTCACACCAGTTATGATCCCACTAGATTTTTTTATCCACATATCCTGCCTATTTTTGTTATTTCTACATTTCCAACCCGTAATTGCCCAATCAATGTCAATCTTCTCAGTAATTATGATGCAACTTTGTTTGAGTTTTATCCGTCCCTCTCCTCGTGTTTATTGTGGCATTTTAATTCCTAATTGTAATTTTATTAATTTGACGCTTGACCGGAAATTATTCTGGAACTTTCCCACCCATTTATACTATAAATACACAGGTGTTAGGTAAGGAGGGGAAATCAGTCGACGAGGCTGTGAAATTTAATCGACTGAGATGGTTAGGACATGTGTTACGTATCAATTTTTGTTTCCATGCTCATTTTCTGCACACCTGTAATTTGCTAAATCCCATGTAATTTTGCTTCTAAGGCTCTTGTAATCTATATTCGCACCTCCTGATTCCCATCTCAATTTGAAAATTATTATTTCAATTTTGTTTCCATGCACATATCCGTTCTAATCCTCTCGTAAAACCATATCTAGTTGGAAATAATTATCACCTTTTATTCGCCATCATAATTATGTAGAATCAAACAAGAATTGTCTCCATGTAAAATTATGTGTTACGTATACCTAGTCATCCCCTTCCTCGACGGGCAATGTTAGCTGACATAGGGTCAGGTTGGAAAAGAGCTAGCGGCGGTCAAACCAAAACATGATTTCATCAGTCAACGAAATCCACAACAGTTAGTTTAAGCCAGCCACGTAGGAAGGTGTAGACTTCCTGTTTGGTTGGTGTCCCCTGGACGGTAAAAACCAATGGTTGAAAACAATTGATGACATGGCTCAAAATCGTTCTCAGTGGCTGATGAAGATGCATCCAATCCTTGTGACTCATGATTTCCAATGAAACTGTTTTGTTCTTCGTTATTACTACCCCTTTGTCTCACACCTCTGTTTACTGTCTATATTATGTATTTCTTCTACTTTCTTCTCTCGCTTTGTGTGCTACATGTGGGGAGTGTGGCGACTTGAACTGTCGCACATATGTGCAAAGTTCTATGTCGAAAACAGACAGGCAGACAGACATAAATACACTAATTTACAGCTATCATCTAATTGACGGTGACTTCGTCGAAAAGAAGATTTTATTCGCTGTAACTAACTGTCTTTTAAAAGTTAAATCATAACAAACAAAACAAAAAAAACAACAGATAACTTACAGATGGACATTTTCTAATTAAATATCCATTTAATAATGATGTAGCAATTTGTCTAATATCCGATCGACGTGGTGATATCGCTAGACGAGTTAATATTTCAGCAAATTGTCTTATCGAAGGCGACGGCAGTAGAATATTAGCACAAGCAATTGAACGGCATATAAATGGATTATTACTATTACTATTATTATTATCAACACTTTTAACATTCAGCATTAATTGTTTCTGTAAATGATGGATTAAAAATACTCGAAAATGTTCATGTATACGTGCTGCATAAGTGATAAATGAACATCCAGAATACGTCTGTATCTCTTCACCAGTTTCATGTTTCTCGGCTATTGTAGTACAATAAACACCATTTAAACTGTTAATACTTGGGATTAATTTATCTATCATATCACTGTTGCTGTTGTTGCTGCCGCCAGTTTCACGTGATGCTTGTTGATATAATGGATGTACACAGTTGCGTGCTCCTAAATCAGGCGATAGCAAACCAAGTGGACCACGGACAATTTGTAATAATTGTGGTCGAATTTCATTCATGGGAATATTTAGCGCGGCCCGATGAGTTATTTCCAATAGATTAACAATTTGTACCGGTTGAATTAATAACCAAATCGATTTTGGACCAGTATCAGTATCTGTGAATTAAAAAAAAAAACAATATAAAATGAGGAAAAACTTGGATGATCTGGACTTCGCCGATGATATATGTCTGATTTCTCACAAACTGGAAGATATGCAAACGAAAAGCAACAAGTTGGAAGAAGAAGCATCAAAGATAGAACTTCCTTCAGGTAAACATAGAGAAGACAGAGGTGATGAAGATTCCTGGCCTACATCAAAAACAACAGACAACGATCAGCATAAATGGGAGGAACCTGAAAGAAACAACCTCCTTTACCTACCCACCTACCTGGGAAGCATCGTTTCAACTACAGCCGGAACTGGTGAGGATATCAAAGCAAGAATCGGAAAAGCAAGACAAGCTTTCACTACTCTCAAGTCTGTGTGGAGGTCAACAGCACTCAGCATCAAAAATAAGATCCGGATTTTCAACTCCAATGTGAAGTCAGTCAGTGCTACTATACGGATCAGAGACTTGCACTGCGCGTCATAAAGAGCATCTCAAACAAACTACAGACCTTCATTAACAGTTGTCTTCGCTCAATACTCAAGATCAGATGGCCAGCCAGAAAAGATCAGCAACAGGGATCTCTGGGAGCGAACCAACACAGCAGGAACAGATTGTGAAACAAATAGGCAGGAAGAAATGGAGATGGATTGGCTGGCCATACTCTGGGAAAACAAGCCATCAAGTGACATGACTAGACAAGCCATTGCTTGAGTGGAACCCGAAAGGGAAGCGGCGAGTTGGTCGTCAGTGCAAGAGTGACTTGGAGGAGGTCATGTGAAGAGGAGACGAAAACATGTGGGCAGACTTGGAGCCAGGTGAAAACTCTAGCAGAGAACCGAACGCAATGGAGACGCACGGCTGAAGCCCTATGTTCCTCTAGGAATTAAAGGAAACAATAATAATAATATAATAATAAATGAGGAAAGTGTTAAGTGTTAAGAGGATTACTTATTTTAAAAATTAAAATTGAATGATAATAATAATGTTATTGAAATTAAATCATGATTGAAAAGTTTATGAAAATGCCAATAAGAGTCAATTGTTACTATCAGTCGAGTGCCATAAATTACTGGCTGTGAGACCTGGCCATTGACAATGGAAGACATGAAAAGGCTGGCTAACTGTCTTCGATCATAGGTGCCTCCGTTCTATCTCCTGTGTAAAGTGGTATAGTAGGGTGAGCAATATTGAGGTTAGGCATCGGTCGAGTGCTGGGTAAGAAGAGGAAATCAATCGACGAGGCTGTGAAGCAGCTGCATCGATCGAGATCATTAGGACACGTGGTACGTATGCCTAGTCATCGCCTTCCTCCACGGGCAATGTTAGTTGACATAGGGTCAAGTTAGAAAAGAGGGAGCTAGCGGCGGTCAAACCAAAACGTGGCACCAGTCAATGAAACCCACAACAGCTAGTTCAAGCTGGCCACGTAGGAAGGTGTAGACTTCATGGTTGGGGTCGTCGGGACGGTAAAAACCAATGAAGGCTGAAGACAATTAGTGGTTATATGGCTCAGAATCCTCGTTCTCAATGGCGCAGATGCATCAACTCATTGTGACTTATAATTTCCAATGAAACTATATTGTTCTTCGTTATTACTATTCCTTTTGTCTCATATCCCTGTCTGTAACAACCGAAGACAAGGGCCAGGCAACAGATCGTTTATTAAGGAAAATCAACACATATTTATAGATCTTAATGTACATTATTTTAGATTATTGTTAGTAGAAAATACGGTCTTTTGATTGGTTGTTTCTCACAGAAAGTTAACCTTGAATCTCTTTGTGGTTGTGTCAGACCATCCATATGCTAACTGTATCCGCCTACTCAAAGCCTTTGTTCTCATTTTCTCACCACCAATATTGGGGACATAAACATTGACGTCAATAACTGTCTACCAACCTTCACTAGCAGCCAGCTCCCACCAAATGTCTACTGTTTCTATTTTGCGTTTCTTTTTACTTTCTTTTCTTGCTTTGTGTGATACAAGGAGGGAGTGTGGTGGCTTGATCTGCTGCACATCGGTGCAAAGTTTTATGTCGAAAATAGACAGACAAACCAACAGTCAGGAAGGCAGAAGGATCAGACGGAATTCTCCCGCCAACATTGCAAAAAGTTTCGGAAGGATGGAAAGGTACCCTACTGATTGGAAAAAAGGCTGGCTACCTTGTTAAACTGCCAAAGAAGGGCAACTTGAAGGCTCACTCTGCAAGAACTTGCCTAGAATCATACTCTTCTTCACGCCAAGTGAAATATTGAGTGGAGTCATCCTGGAGAGAATAAAAAATGCACTGGGAGAAGAACTCCTTCCATCAGAACAAGGAAGATTCAGGAAAGGCAAATCATGTGGTGCTGATCAAATTGCAACTCTAAGTAACATAATAGCACAAACCATAGACTGCTAGTGAGACCTTTACTGTTATCAATCTCTCACTCCACCCTGTGAAATTAGATTTTAAAACTGTCATCTTATAACATCATCCTATTGCATACTTGTGTATAATTGCATGTAGTGCTATAGCTAAACTATTCTCCAGATTTCTTGTCTTATTCGGGTCAACCAGTCTAGATTTCGCTAAGTTTTTATGCTCGGCTAGCCTGACTGACTGCCCCTCTTACACTACTTTGACCTATGTATTTGACCTGACAATCATCACATTCAAGGTATTAGATCAACTAAATTGTTTTGTTTTAAAGGCTCCACTGGCAGGATCCTTTAACCGACAAAGCTTGTTTCTAATTGAGTCTGTGGGTGGTGGTTTGAATGCCAGCCACTTCCCTTATTCCTGCCTTGTTAAGAATTCTGAGTAAGAAACGGGAGATGTGCCGCTGAAGTCCTATATTCCAGATAGGGAGGGAGTAATAATAGGTCAGTGGGTTGTTAGGATCTACAAATCGAATCTTCAAATCAAGATAGCAGCTATCAGTCGAGCAGTTATCAGAAAGTGAAGAATATTGTCAACATAGAAAGCACAGAAAACTTTATCATCAATTCGACGACAACAGAGTGCACACATACACACACAAAAAAACAAACAAATCCCATCTGCAGTATAAAATGATATCATCATTCTATTTCACAGGTTCTCATCAGCTGCACACCACTACCTGAAATTACAACGGTTATAAATATTAACATTTCATACTTCATTGTTTGAAAGGTAATAGAGAAAGCATTATAAGATGAATGCATCCGGAATATAAGGAATTAAATTTTTTTCAGAGCATATTCCGAGAAACTTATACTTAAAAGGAAGCAAATATTTACAAAGTGCAATTACCAGACACCTTGTGGATACGGGCCATTTTGTCGAGATTTCCAAATCCTTCAAAATATTAAACATACAAAGGACAGCGAATCTACTACGATTTACTGCTGAAGCAATTGCAATCAAACGTCTCAGACCAAACTTATGCAGACAGACAGAGAGAGTGTAGTCAATCTCTCACTCCCTTAGTAACCATATCACTTTCATTACACTGATTACTCTATAGACACTAGTGAGGTCAGCTCACTAAGCAAGTTTTGCAAATTGATGAACTTTGACCTTGTTGAGTTGCCATGTTGACAGTGTTTATTAGATTTTTCTGTTTTCTTTCTTCTCTCACCCCCCTTTTTTTTCTTCTTTTTTCATAGTTTGATAGTATATAAATTGATGGTAAATTAAACTATAAAAAAATTTAATTCCTTATATTCCGGATGCGTTCATCTTATAATGTTTTCTCTATTACCTTTCAAAATATGAAGTATGAAATGTTATTATTTATAACCATTGTAATTTCAGGTAGTGTGGTGTGCAGCTGATGAGAACCTGTGAAATAGAATGATGATATCATATATAATACTGCAAATCTGGTCTTTCTTTCTCTATCGAAATTTATCAAGGGAACCAAATGTATGAAATCCCATCTGATTAAACAAACTTACAATGATTTAATTTCTCCATTGAACCATCATTATTCTCGTGTATATCACCAATCAAATTTTCATTATTATTATTATTACTATTATTATTATTGTCCATTAAATTGTCATCAGCTTGTTCAATTAACTTTGATATCACATCTAACAACTGTAAACCAAGTTTTAACATTGAATCACGTAACTCCATGGAAACTTCATTGACATTCTCCTGCTGCTGTTGCTGCTGTTGTTGGTCATTATTCATATAAAAATAAGTAATATCCCAATCAGATACAGAAGATTTTAAATCTTCACTTGGTAATATATGACAGGCATCATTTAAGCTATTCATTAGACTTTTTAATCCATGCCAAGGGACGATATCATTTCCGATAACCGTAGTAGTAGTCGGTGTTGTCGCTGTCGCAGTTGTTGCTGTCGTAGGGATTTCTTGTTTCCGAGGAGCTAAAGCATCCGCTAGACCATTTGTAATATGATTCATCCAAATTGTCAACGTGGTGAATTCATTCTGTTGTTCAGCATAACTTTTCCCGCAATTATTCTGTTTGACAGCCGTCGTTATAGCAGCATTTGTCTCGTCGAGGTTATTACAATGATTCTGTAGTAAAATCTTTAATCGATCACAAGTTCTATCTAATTCTTGCATAATTGGGTATAAAAAGGCTTTAATGAGTTGTTGGCCTAGTGATTTTGTCATTAAAGTTGGTATAAACCAAAAACTATGCTGACGTCGTTTATTATTACTCCCCTTATTATTATAACAGTAGTTGACGATTGATTTCAGATGAATAAATGGTGTCCACCACGAGGATTGTGCATATGCTTCATCATGGTGACGATGACGACTGTTCAGCATGGTTGCGTCGTCATTGTTATTATTATTATCAGTATCACCTTCGTCATCTTTAACACCGACACTATTTCCCAGTAGATTAAATCGTCGAAAATCAATACTATAACAGGTTAAACGATGCAGTAACATGCCTAGAAAACTTCCACAGGCTTCAGCCAGTGCAGGACATGCATTTGTCATTGTACCCTTATCACCATCATTATCATTGTTATTGAAACCAATTGCATCATCAACACCATCAGGGAATAATTCCTTCCACTGAGGTTTAACACAACATCCAGTTGATAGGTAGAGAAGTTTACCGAGGATTATAATCAGAGGTTGAATAAATGCCGCATAGATTTCTGGATCAACTAGGCTTTCAGCTGGTAAAGCACATATATAACCTGGTAGAATGTACAGCAGGGCGAGTAATCGAGGCTCTGGTCGATAATGATGAATAAATGAGTTATCTAAAAGGAAGAAGAAGAAGAAAACAAAAAAGGAATGTCAGTGTGTTATTGAAAACATTGAATAGGTTTTGTTTATTCAAACTCGACCCGATTTGCGCGGGAAATAACAACGAGGAGGAGGAATAAACAATCGTATTGTTATTCTGCTTTCTGATATTCCTTGTTGTGCATAGAATACGGCGTGTTAGACGGAGTCTTTGGTGAAATCAGTGATAGGTTCAGGATGTTTGTGATATGGACAATTTGACAATATATGAATTAAGAAATTTAATTCAATCCATAAATGTAGGATAACATACGCGTCCGGGGGAAAACCATAACTACCAAAGGAACTAGCATAAGAACATTTAGTCATTACTCAATTAGTCAATACATGGCTAAGAGCCACTAACACCTATCGTGAGGGGACTAACGATGCTGTCCAATCACCCAAGCTGAAGTAGGTGGAACAGGGCTCGAACTCGCGACACAGTGACTGAAAGTTGAGTACCTAAGCCAATGAACCACATCTCAAGCATCATATGAAAAGATATTACAATGTTCCGAACATCACCCTGCATAGTGGTTAAGTGAAGAACAAACAAAATCTATTCGCAGAGCTATTCTATTCTATCTCATTTTGCGGATACAGAACACAAGACTGATGTTAACGAGTCATCTTAACTCCGCCTTAAGAGTTCGTTTACTAAATATTGCTGAGGCCGTTGGGATCCACATTAAGAAGCCTAATTTATGTGTCCAAAAGAAGCTAGTTCAGACATTGTCCTTACCTTGGTCATCTAGGTTCGAATGAGCCTAAACTTTTTGTAGAAATTACCCTAATTTTAGCTGATATTCTATTTTTATTATTATTAAAATTTATGCATCTTTAATGAACTGTAATTCCGTTGTGATCGTACTTAACAAATCGATATTATTTAAAAAAACACTAATATTGTTATTGACTATTCTAGAATATTCTATGTATATAAACATGCATATATAATTGTAGAGCCAGAAGAGGAGGAATTTATCGAAAAGGATATTCTTTGCTCTCTCAATTATATTTTGTGTTTTATAGATGTCTGAATGAATATTTTGGCTAAATTGACAAAGAGGTTGTGCTCCATCTGACAAAGAAGAATAATGAAATTCTGTAAAGTTAAAAAAAAAATAAAGATCCAAGGAAAACCAATGCACTGATAACTTGGAGACGAAAAGAACTAGAAGTTTAGAAAAGATAACTATCAGACATCGTCGAAGCATTCGCACAAGCAGCCGACATTTCAACGAGAGGCCGGTCCAATCAATCAATTAACGGGAAAGTCGAATTCGAACTAAATAAGTTTACTAATCCTATTTTAAACCCTGAAATGAGGGAACCTTAATTAAATGTGAGACTAACAACCTTATCGCGTAGAAACAAAAGCTACAACACTACAGTGCTACTGGAACTTAAAAAAGCTAGAAGCTCAGTGTTCCACTCAGAACTAAAGAAATGCAAGACAAAGATAACTTTTGAGTTGAATCACGAAATAACATGAAGGTAAAGAAGAATCATTGATGAAAACCACCAGGGAGTACTGGACAGTTGTTATGTACAAGTCTGGGGTTCTTCAGCAGTCCACCGTACATCACACTTATGAACCCATTTGGGATGGGAACCAAGACCTTCGAATTATGAGGTGATTCTGTTAACCATTCAACCATTGGGTTTGAATTCAATGACCATGTATGCTACTGCCAAAATATCTTGTTATGCATCTCCCCAAAGTATTACAATAGCTCACCGTAAAAACGTAGAAAAATTCAAAAGGATAAATTTACGTCAGGATCAGTAATCTGACTAAAGTAGAAGAAGACTCTGTCGTCCTCTGCTGTTGGCTTTCATCGACCAAATCAGTTAACGTTCTTTCTCTCTTTCTTTTCATTCCTTTCTGACCTGAGTGAAGTACACAGACCTTCCCAACTTTCCCTCTTTTCCTCAATAACTATCGGCTAGTGAACTAGGATGAGGTTTAGGAGTGAATCGACCAGGAATCGAACCCCGTGAGCAACGAGGATTTTACCATTCAGTTACCACCAATCCATAAGGTAGTCTTTATTTATGCAAAATACTAAGCTACATAATCCTGGAGAGAATCAAACACACTGCCCTGGATGAAAAACTTCGACCGGAACAGGCTGGATTCAGGAGAAACAAGTCATGCATTGATCAAATCGCCACACTACGGATCATCATTGAACAGAGCTTGGAATGGCAGTCAGCTCTCTACCTCAAATTCATTGACTTTGAAAAGGCCTTCGACAACGACTGTCGAGAGGTGATTTGGCAACTACTTCGCTACTACGAGGTGCCACCAACATTTATGAACCTTATCCAACAATTGTACGACAATTTTGCATGCCAAATAATCCACAACGGGAAAATAATGGAATGCATCGAAGTGAAAACGGGAGTAAGAAAAGGCTGGCTGCCTACTATCTCCAATGCTTCCCTGATTGCGGTAGACTGGATAATGCGATAGACAGACAGCGGGCAACGAGGAAACAGGCATAAACAGGACCCACACAAAGACAAACTTGGAGGATCTGGATTTCGCCGATGATATTTGTCTGATTTCCCACAAACTGGAAGATATACAAGTGAAAAGCAACAAGTTGGCGATAGAAGAAGCATCATAGAAAGATATCACTTCAGGTGAACATAGAGAAGACAGAAGTAGGTAATGAGGACTCCTGATCAACATCAACAGCAACAACAGCAGACAACAATCAGCATAAATGGGAGAAATCTGAAAGAAGCAACCTCCTTTACCTACCTACCTGGGAAGCATAGTGTCAACTACAGGCGGAAGGAACTCATGAGGATATCATAGTGAGGATCGGGAAAGCAAGGCAAGCTTTCATTACTCTCGAGTCTGTGTGGAGGTCAACATCACTCAGCACTCAGCATGAAAATAAGATCCGGATTTTCAACTCCAATGTGAATTCAGTACTACTAAACGGGTCAGAGACTTGGTCAGTGCTTCCCGAAGAACACTTCAAACAAACTACACACTTTCATCAACGGCTCTCTTCGCTCAATACTTCTCAAGATCAGAGGGCCGACCCGAAATGATCACCAACAGGGATCTCTGGCAATGAACGAAACAACCTAACCGGAACCAACTGTGTAACAAATATGCAGGAAGAAGTGGAGGTAGATTAGCCATACTCTGAGAAAACCAACCATCAAGTGAGTGACATCACACACCAGTCTCCCGCTCGAGTGGAACTAGAATGGGAAGCGGCGAGTTAGTTGGTAGTCAGTGTGAGGGTAAAGTGACATGGAGGAGGTGATGTGAAGAGGAGATGAAAACATGTGGGCAGAAGTGGAACCAGGTGAAAACGTTGGCAGAGAACCGAACGCAATGGAGATGTACGGCTGAATTCCTATGTTCCTCTAGGAATTAAAGGAAACAATAATAATAATAAATACAGTGAAGATGTATGGCTCTTATCCATCGACGCAGAGGGCTCTCGAGTGGTTGCTCTACAGGATGATACTGCTGGTCTCATCTCACAAGAAACAGGGGTAGGTGTGTTCGGTCCTCCTGAAAACCAATATCCAGTCAATGGATGTATCATGGCTCATTGGTTTCAGCACTCAAGTTCTAGACAAGCAGGTCCCGAATTCGAGTCCCACCTCATTCTACTTACTTGAGCCTAGAACCACCTAGGTAGTATTATCAGCTGTCATACAATAAGTGTGATTCTGGTTCCGGGTAATGTAATTCCAACTAACTGACTACCTAACGTCAAAGATACAAAAAACGTTTAAAATCACACTACCATCAACATAAAAATTAGGTCAATTCCGTTAAAATGAATATCAACATGAGAATAATGATTGACAACGATTAACAACTTGAATAAAATAGTATTAAAAATGCTGACACATAAAATGTATAAACTCCTAATAGAATTCTTAAACTGATTTAAAAATCTTTAGAATATATCTTCCAACAGGTGTTTGAGATAGATTTGAACAATAAAATTCATGTTATGAATTTTGTCGGGATCTGCTTCCTCATTGAGGAGGGGGCATATCTGTTTCCGGTATAAATAAGGCTAACTGATTCGATTTATATTCAAGCGTTGGTGTACAGGTATTTGATTTGATTCCTTACAGGATCTCGTCATGAGCTGACATCAGTTAAAGAACCATTGGAAAACCACCAGGGAGTGCTGGACAGCTATTTCTGTAGTCCTAGTTTTGAACTATTCATCAGTACGCACCCACTCCACTGGGGTTCGAACCAACGACCTTCCTGTTACAAGGCGGAACCCACAAACTCCCCGGGGTTCGAACCTCTGTGGGTGCGTATTGCTGGAGAGTCCCCAAACTAGGACTACAGAAAGAGCTGTTCAGTACTCCCTGGCTGGTTTTCCAATGGTCCCCTAACCGATGTCAGCTCATGATGCAATCCTGATTTGATTTTGTTATGGGACATATTCCGTTGCTTACATGTGCAAGGATTGATGAGTCCTTTCTATGCAGCATTTAGGAAATAAAATAAAAAATGTGACTCAATGAACACTTGAACAACTCCATACAGTTGACAATGAGCCAAACCTAGTTTGTGAAGACAAATGATACTATTCGGCTGCCTATAAACCTAAAAGATTGGAATATAAGTATAAAACTTGGGCACTGTGGTAGAGTGTAACTCCACTATGGATAAGATTTTATTTTGATAAATCACACAGTGTGTTATACAGTAAGTAATATTTACTGGTGACCACGTTTCAAACACAAACTATCGCTGCTCGTAATCATATCAAGTTACTCACACAACTTTTTTCTTCATTTATATACATGTGTGGAATTGATGCGATTAGATATTGGAATAAAATTCAATATGGGATAATGTACATTCAGAAATAATAATATGAGTGTTATCAATCAAATACAATCAGATGGGAAATAAGACGAATGTTTTTATAGTCAAAATAAGTAACTTGTTAGAATATTATGATGTATGTGAATTGAAATAGAATTTTAAGATTATTTATTATCCTCTTCTGATTTGACTGGTGGTAATAATATAATATAATAAAACAAACTCACTCAGAGACAAGCTATGTAAGCTAAAAGATCCGGTGGACCCAATTAAACAAAATAATATAATTTACAAAATACCTTGCAATGACTGTGAGTTAAGTCAACTAAATAGGTCAAACTAGTAGGTCAGGGGTAGTCAGATTGTCAGAACATAAGAATTTAGCTAAAGTAACAATTATTGACCCCGAGAGGATAAGCAATTTAGAATAAAGCTCAGCGACTGCACTACATGCATTAACACACAACCACACAATAGGGTGGGTGAGAGAGGGTTTAAAATTCTAAGAAGTAATCCGTGTAGGTAGAGAGAGAGAGATTGATTACTGAATCCTGCCTGGTTCATTGAGTCTACACCCAACACAACACATGCAACAGAAGTGAGTCAATGCAAATACCAGAGATATGCATGGAAGATATTATTACCAACAGTCAGTCAAATCATAGGAGAATGATAAATAATCTTAAAATTCTATTTCAGTTCAAGCACATCCCAACATTCTTACTTATTTTGACTATAAAAAAACACTCGTATTATATTTCCCATCTGATTGTATTTGATCAATAACACTCATATTATTATTATTATTTCTGAATGTACATTATCCCATTTTGATTTTTATTCCAATATCTAGTCAATTCCACACATGTATATAAATGAAGAAAAAAGTTGTGTGAGTAACTTGATATGATTACGAGCAGCGATAGTTTGTGCTCGAAACGTGGTCATCAGTTAATATTACTTACTGTACAACAACACTGTGTGACTTTATCAAAATAAAATCTTATGCATAATGGAGTTACAGTGATTAGAAGTCAAGCGCCTAGATCGCTGGACAACAGCTCCACAGATATATTGATTTTTGCATTTTTAAAAACTGAACTGATTGATGAACGCAACGCTTTGCTCAAAGTTCACCGGTTCAATTTACCACAACATTACAAGATAGAGAAACCAAATGCACAATGAAGCCACAATGAATAACAACGAAAATAGAATAATTAAGTAAACAATCTTGAAATCTGTATGATGATATGGAGTGAATACAACTGTAACAATGAGAATGATTTTTCAATTAATTGTCATCAATAGCCAACAGCCAATGAATTCTTAACATCTCAAGGATTCCAGTCAGCTTGTTTACGCTTCCCTATGAGACTCAAATTATTACATAAAGAATTCATAACTTTATTGAATTTTAGATTTTCCCGTCGATTGATTGGACCCCGAGGTGCTCCTCGGTCTCAGGTTGACATGTCGGTTTCTTGTGCAGATTCTTCAACGATGTCTGGGCATGTAATCAGAATTGAATTGGTGGATGGTGACTGGCAGTGTTGGAATCCAGAATGCGCAAGAAGCCGACATGTCAACCAGAGACCGAGGAGAACTTCGGTCCAATCAATCGACGGGAAAATCTAAAATTCAATTTAATGATTAATTAATATGACGCGTTGCACAAGAGGTGGCTCTCGTTGCCCAAGTGATCTAGTGGATAACGCTTTAGCGTTTGAAACTATGACCATTGGGTTCGACCATCGGTGGGAACATCATCACTCACAGGGGAATGCAGGCACATCCAGCCAGATGACGAGTCCCAAATAGGACGAGATGCGCATCCTAGATTCCACTGCTAGTCAACATCCATCAATTCAAAAGATTCATGAGTTGATAACATATCATTGTTTGATTACTTTTGTCTCTTCTCTAATCCAATTCTAAAGACAGAGAATAAAGTGGTTGTTGAGCGTGTTGACCACTTCACTTATGTGCAAAGTTGCATCAAACAGCCTAGCGGGTTGGTTCGCTGACAAAATCTCAGCTCGGATACAGAAGGCTCGTTTGGCATTTGCCTGTCAGCTTACGCCATCTCTGGCTTAGTTAGTAGACATGCTGTTCGGCTGGCTATCGATCAAATACCTGCTGAAAGGTGGTGGTGGTGATGGTCTTAGGCGATTTTACACAGCAATCTGATGTAAATATTCACCCTTTAAATGTGACCTTGCCATTTTTTTAGTGCATGAAAATAAATAACTGTTTTTTTTTAAAAAAACAGTTTTTAAAATCGAAAATTTATGCACAAAACAAAATGAGATCACACCTAGTGATAGAGTCACATGTAGAGAGAGGACAAATGAAATCAAGTAGGCACATTTAGGTGTATAACCTAGATAATGATGATATAAACATTGGTAAACAAAAATATTGCATACTATGATATAATCACATCCAATTGTTTATGAACAAAATGTTTATCAAGTGTATTTGGTTGGTGAAGAGTTGATCTGCTTGTTTATAGGATTGATCACGAGCTGAAATCATCAGTTAAAGAACCATTGGAAATTCAGTCATGGAGTATTGGGCAGATGTTTCTCTAGTCCTAGTTTGCGGCTATTCATCACTACACTCCTACCGCCAGAGTTCGAACCCAAGAACTTCCGGTTACGAATCAAGCTCAATAGCCATTCAGCCCCTGGGACTTAACCCAATGGCATATGAATTCTAACTACTGCCAATTTGGTGATATACATATTCAGCGCAACCGCCAGCCAATGTCACGGGAAAGTAACTGTCCTCTTCCTTGACTTGATGGACTGCGCTAGTTACAACTTTTCACTAGAACCCCAGGTACTTCCTGTATAGGGCCAGTGAGCATCATGTGTCCCAATGGTTATCTAACTGATGACAGCTTGTGATCCTGAGACTAAACACTACAATTATTATTATTATTATTATTGTTTCTTTTAGTTCCTAGAGGAACATAGGACTTCAGCCGCACATCTCCATTGCGTTCGGTTCTCTGTCAACGTTTTCACTTGGTTCCACTTCTGCCCACATGCTTTCATCTCCTCTTCACATCACCTCCTGCTCCATGTCACCCCAACCTCGCACTAACGACCAACTAACTTGCTTCTTCCCATTCGGGTTCCACTCGGGCGATAGCCTGGCGTGTGATGGATGTCACTTGAAGATGGTTTGTCTTCTCAGAGTATGGCGAATCCACCGAACTCTATTTCCTCCTGCATATTTGTTGCACAGTTGGTTCTTGCTGGGTTGGTTCATTCATTGTCAGAGATTCCTTCCTGTTGCTGATCTTTTCTGGCCGGCCATCTGATCTTTAGTAGTATTGAGTGAAGACAGCTGTTGATGAAGGTATGTAGTTTGTTCAAAGTGCCCTTCGTGACGTACTGGCAAAGTCTCTGATCCGTATAGTAAATAGCACCAACTTCACATTGGAGTTGGAGGGGATTCGAATTCAGCTCCATTTATAGTTTATGGAGACTGAACAATAAGTGGAGCTGAATTCGAATCTCCTCCACTCCCCTTTCCATCAACTGGCCGAAAATGTATCAAGTTTACTAATAGGCATTGTGCATGAAAATTCAGAAAAAGTCTTTACGAAACTACACCCAGCTATTTATAACAAAATAATGTAGTTTGTGCATCGTTGGCACAGTGGTAGAATGCTCGAAAAACCACCCCTCATGTGGCCCGGGGTTCGATCCCTGGCCACCAACGCACTCCTTTACCTCGCTAAGCCAATAATAAGGCTGGCAAAGAGGAAAGGTTGGGCATGAGGCTAGCAACTCCATCATGTAAAAATAAACACCACCGC